GCTCCCCCATGGGGCCCTGCATAGTGTATGTGACACCTGTTTCTGGGGACCCGTGAGCATAAACACGTCTTCCTTCACACAGCCATTGCTTATAACAAACCCCAGGTGCATTCTAAAACACGTGTGTGCGGGACAGTTCTGTAAGCGTGGCTCCCACTTTCCACACAGGAGGGTGGTACTGGAGGCAAGTCACATGGGCAGAGGGTAGAAGGCGGTGCCCTGGAAGTTGATGAGACTCCACTTCCAGTTATGGTTCTATAGTCCCTGTCTAGCTCAGGTTCCTTTCTAGAAAAAAAAAAAAAAAAAAAAAAAAAAAAAAGGAGAAATGTTATTAGATAATTTCAAGGTCCCTTCTAGCTCTAAATGTCTTTGGACCTAGATGGCTTCTAAAATAGGTAATGAAGCAATATATAAATGTTTATGGTATAACATGAAAATGGAAGGGGAAAAAAACAGGATACAAAAATAACACTATATCCTACATTCCAACATGGCGGAAGACTGGAAGATTATATACAAAGAAGAACACTTTTAATGAAAGATGAGATTATGGGTCAAAATGCATATTTCACATTTAAAATAAAAACCCAAAGTTCATATCAGAACAAAGCTGGTGTCCCTCATCATCTCTGCATCCTTTTATAAATGCCCTGTATACGTTTCTAGAAGCCCAAATGGGTCTTATTGGGCCCAAACCAAGGTGGCAGCAGAGCTGTGTTCCTTCTAGAGCAGTGGTTCCCTACCTTTCTAATGCCATGACCCTTTAATACAGTTACTCATGTGATGGTGACCCCAACCATAAAATTATTTTCGTTGCTACTTCTAGCTGTAATTTTGCTACTGTTATGAATCGTAATGTAAATACCTGTGTTTTCCAATGGTCTTAGGCGACCCCTGTGAAAGGGTCATTCGGCCCCCAAAGGGGTCGAGACCCACAGGTTGAGAACCACTAGCAGGGTCGCCTAAGACCATCGGAAAACACAGATATTTATATTACGATTCATTAACAGTAGCAAAATTACAGTTATGAAGTAGCAACAAAAATAATATTATGGTTGAGGGTCACCACAACATAAGAAACTGTATTAAAGGGCCACAGCATTAGGAACGTTGAGAACCACTGATCTAGAGAAATAGGGGGGAAACCATTCCTCACCTTTTCCAGCTTCTAGAGACTACCCACTCCGCTTCCCCTTCCACCCTCAAAGCCAGCCAAGGCCTGCGGAGTCTTTCTCACCCTAATCTCGCTTCTGTGGCACATCTCCTTTGACTGGGCCTGCCTCTGCCTCCTCTATTACTTATGAGGATGCTGTGATTACATCCTCCCCACTGGGATAATCCAGAATCATCTTCTCATCTCAAGGGCAGTTGATGAGCACTTTTCATTTCATCTGCAGCTTTAACTCCCCTTTGCCTTTTGCAGAGCACATTCACAAGCCACAGGGGTGGGGGAGGGGACCATCTTGGGGTGGGTGTAATACTCTTCTCTGGGATTCTATTCCATCTAAAGAGGGCCCTCAGAGAGCCCCTTGGCATCTTCTTGATTGTCTTTGATCTTTTCACCCAGTTTAAGATGCAGAAATGAGGCATAGGAAAAAGTACAGACCCTACTCCAGGATTTGCCTTGACCCTGTGGTCCTCAGCAAACATTTACAGAGCGCCTTCTGTGTGCCAAAAAATTAAGGCAGGGACCCCCTCCTGCCTTTGTGGCAGCCCTAAGGAGATGTCTGACTGTCTTTCCCCAATGGCTCCTGGACTGCAAAAGAGTGCAGGCCGGATTGAGGGACCCCCTCCCTGCCAGTGCACAAATTTCATGCACTAGGTCTATAGTAGAATATATAAAGAACTATCAAACCTCAACAATGAAGCCCTGGCTGGGTAGTTCAATTGGTTAGAGCATTGACCTGATACACCAAGATTGAGAGTTCAATTCCTAGTCAGATGCATATAAGAGGCAACAAATGAATTCATGCATAAGTGGAATAACAAATTTGTCTCAGTCTCTCTCTCTCTCTCTCTGTCCTCCTTCCCTCCCTCCCCTCTCTCAAATCAACCAATTAAAATTTATCTCAGTTTTTCTCTCTGTCTCTCTTTCTCCCTCCCTCCCCTTTCCACCCCTCTTTCTCAAATCAACCAATTTTTTAAAAAATCTTTTTTTTTTTTTAAGAAACCTCAACAACCAGAATTCAAAAAATCTAATTATAATATGGGCAAAAAAAGTTGAACAGATATTTCACCAATGAGGAAACATGGATGGCAAAGAAGCCCATGAAAAAATATTTAATATCATCAGCCATTTGGAAAATGCAAATTAAAAATTTAAGCCACAATGAGATAAGACTACACACTGGTGTGGCTCAGTGGATAGAGTGTCGGCCTGTGGACTCAAGGGTCCCAGGTTCAATTCCGGTCAAGGGCATGTACCTAGGTTGCGGGTGCATCCCGTGGGGAGTGTGCTGGAGGCAGCTGATCAATGTTTCTCTCTCATCAATGTTCCTAACTTTCTGTCCCTCTCCCTTCCTCTCTGTAGAAAATCAATAAAATATATTTTTAATAATAAAAAAAGACTACACACCTATTATAATGGCTAAAATAAAAAATAATGATAACACCAAATGCTGATTAAGATGTAGAGAAACTGGCCCTGGCCGGTTTGGCTCGGTGGCTAGAGCATCAGCCTGCGGACTGGAGGTCCCAGGTTCGACTCCGATCAAGGGCATGTATCTTGGTTGCTGGCACATCTTCAGTGCAGGAGGCAGCTGATCGATGTTTCTCTCATTGATATTTCTCACTCTCTATCTCTCTTCCTTCCTCTTTGTGAAAAAACCAATAAAATAAATTTAAAAAAAAGTTTAAAACAAAAGAAAAGATGTAGAGAAACTGGGACATGGATACACTGCTAGTGAACACCTAAAATGGTATAGCCACTCAGGAAAAGAGTTTGGTGGTTTCTTACCAAACTAAATATGCAGTTACCTTATCACCCAACAATTGCACTCTTGGATATTTATCACAGAAAAATAAAAACTCATGTTCACACAAAAATGAATGTTCATAGCACTTTCATTCATAATAGCGAAACAACTATAGCAGTGGGGGCAGGGAGGTTGAACAAATTTTGATAGACCTATACAATAAAATAATACCATTCAGCTATAAAAATATTAACTATTGATATGTGCAATAATCTGAGTGAAACTCAAGACATATGCTTAGTGTTAAAAGCCATTCCAAAAGGTTAGGTACTATACAATGTTTGATTCTATTCATATAACGTTGTCCAAATGGTAAAACGGTAGAGTTGAAGAACAAATTAGTGGCTGCCTGGGGCCATGGGCAGAAAGAAGAGGCATGAGTACTTGCTACAGAGATAGCAGAGGGAGTTCTGTGTTGATGAGACAATTCTGTATCTTTACTGTTTCATTACAAGAACCTATACACGTGACAAAATTGCATACAGCCACACACACTCGTAAGTGAATGAAGGTTTTAAAGTGATTTAAAAATAAGGTCTGGCCATAGCTAGTTTGGCTCAGTGGATAGATAGAGCATTGGCCCTGAAGGGTCCTGGTTCAATTCTGGTCAAGGGCACGTACCTTGCATGCAGGTTCCCTGAGCCTGGTCCGGGTGTGTGGAGGAAGCAACCAATTGATGTGTCTCTCTCACATCAATGTTTCTCTCTGTCTCTCCCTCTCCCTTCCACTCTCTCTAAAAAATCAATGGAAAAATATCCTTGGGTGAGGATTAACCCAAAAATAAATAACAAATAAATAAATAAAACAAAATAAAGTCAATAGTATAGTTAACAGTATTGTGCCAATGTCAATTTCCTGGTCTTTAATTGTTTTTGTAGTTACATAATACATAATCACTGGGAGAAGCTTAGGGTACTAATTTTCCAAATGTTTACGAATCCATTAGTATTTCAAAAGGAAATGTTTAAAGAAATGTTTGAATGAAAAATGAGAAAAGAAAACCATCTTTGCCAAAGGCCTTCCCGTTGCACAGGGTGGTTCTCTCTGGCAGGTGCTTCATCCACAATAACCTACTTCCCAGCTCTTCTCCCCAGATACACAACGTACTGTCCATCTGAAAAGTTTACAGCTGAATGCACGGTGCCTTAGACCAGGACTACAGAAAAGCTGCATAAATAAAAACAGTTCAAAAGAACCCTTGCATACCAGGTTCACCGGTTTGTTACTAGTTTAACCCATTCACTTTATCGTATGGGATGGATCCAACTGTATCATTGTTTCTGAACCATTTCAGGGTAAGGTACAGACATGGCTACTTTAGTGTTCATTTCCTAAGAATATTCGTTGATGCAATCACAACAGTGTTATCAACTTCAGTAAATTTAACCTTGGTTCAGTGCTTTAGCCCATCATTCCGATTCCACTTTCTCGATATAGTGGCCCCAATATTTTCCAGTACAGAATCCAGCCAGCCCGGGGTCAGGGGCCGCCCTGAGTGGCCACGTCTCTTTGAGAGCCTTCGTAGGTCCTGCTTTGCAACCGGTCTCTCCTGGTTACCGGGCACCCAGAATTCACCTGTAAACTGAGATGATGGCAGCTGCCCCACTCACCTCTTTCTGAGTAAAGGCGCTTTAACAATTTGTTAGAACTAAATGGAGCATTTCTCTTCTGCATCGTTATTCCCCAGAAGAAGCGTCAACATTGTATTGTGGGATGGGGCAGAGGAGGCCAGCTTTGGGCGGAGGAGGCCAGCCAGGGGAGAGAAGGAGGAATTTGGAAAAACCCTCCGGGGAAGAGGGGACCCAGGCCAAGCCCAGGACTCCCCCTTCCCACCCCTTCACCTGGAGCACCGGCGGCCAATGGGCGGGCGGCCCGGGTCCCCGTGGCCAATGGGGAGGCGGCGCGGCGCGCGCCCCGGGCTTATAAGCGCGCGCGGCGGCGGAAAGTGAAAGTGGGGCGCAGCCGCGGGCGCCGCCTCGGGGTCCCGGGGAGCCCAGGCGCCGAGCCCAGTCCCCCATGGACGGGATGCTCCGGACTCCCGAGCCGCGGCCCGGGGAGGCGGGGGCGGCCACCCAGGCCAAGCCGCTCACCTCCTTCCTCATCCAGGACATCCTGCGGGACTGCCCGGGCGGCCGGCCGCGGCCCCCGCCTCTGCCCCGCCAGCAGCGCGCCGAGCGGCCGAGCCCGGAGCCGGAGCCCGCGGCGGGGAGCGGCGGTGCGGACGCGCCGGAGGAGCGGGCGAGCGCCCGGCCCCGCGCCGCGCCCGGGGAGGCCGGGTCGCCGGCGGAGACGGAGCCAGGTAAACCCTCCTTGGGGCCCCGGAGGCCGGGCCGGGCCGGGTGGGGACCCGCCGAGGGCAGACTGGCCTGCAGGCTGCGCGGGCGTGAGGACCGGTCCGAGGCGCGCCTCCCGGAGCTCCGGCTGCTGCGGGGATGCGGGATGCGGGATGCGGGGATGCGGGATGCGGGGCCCTTGGCGACGGGAGAAGGGACCTCGCTGCCTCCTGCCACGGGTGCGCCTCCTCGGAGATGAACCCTGAGCCCCAGCGTTCAGGCGGCGCAGGATGCAGACAGTGGCCTGACTCCGCGCAGGATGCTCCAGGCTCCCGGCTCCGAGGGCTCCCGCGCCCAGAGCTTAAAAACCAGAGCTGACGCAGCGCCCACCGTGCCCCCACCCACCCCCCTAGTCCCGGTGAAACCCTCCCGGCCCCCAGCCATCCCGCGACTGACTGCTGATCGGTGCCAGCCCCGCTTTACCTCTTAGCATTTACAGTACGAATGTACCACCAATAACTGATAATCACTAATAGGAAGACATTAGAGTGTGCCCAACGAATTAGAATGTGCCCTTTTGCTTCCCAATCACAGGAGCAGCAAAAACAATCAAGTTGGGAGATCCCTCTGGTCTTCGGGACATTTAAAGTAGACTTATTTCCTTTCCCGTCACTCCTTATGAGGTATCCTAACGCCTCATTTAGGGGGGGGGAATGGGGGGATTAAAGCCAGAAAAGGTGCTTTCCTTTAGCCCTGAAGCCTCTCCTGTCACACAAGCCCACTCCAGCCACCCGGAGGTCACACCGGAGGCCCTGGGTGCTTCACAAGGTATCTTCTCTCCCTGTCTCCCCCCCCCCTCCTTTCCCACCGCCCTCAGGACCCAGATCCAGAATCCCTGCTTAACTCTAGGGGGCTGTCCAGCAGGAAGCTCTGCCACTAACAGCCTCTTCTTTGGGTTCTTGATGGCTATTAGGAAACTAATACATAGTATATACATGTTCACTCACTCCGGGCCTGAGAACGCCTTGGTCATGTGAAAGCCGTGAAATGTATCCAAGATAACAGTGGGCTATTTGTTCACTCACCGAAGAGATAACGGTGGACTGAATTCTGCCCTCTTCCCGGCCACCATGTAACGTTTTCCTTCCCGTCCCCTCTTCTCCCCTCTCGTTTCCAGATAGGCCCTTGGAGACTTATCTGCTGGACTGTGAGGACACTTCGGGCGCCTCGCCCAGCCTGCCCCACGCCCCCAAGCAGCCACAGAAACGCTCCCGGGCTGCCTTCTCCCACTCCCAGGTCATCGAGCTGGAGAGGAAGTTCAGCCACCAGAAGTACCTGTCGGCCCCCGAGCGGGCTCACCTGGCCAAAAACCTGAAGCTCACGGAGACCCAGGTGAAAATATGGTTCCAGAACAGGCGCTACAAGACCAAGCGGAAGCAGCTCGCCTCGGACCTGGGCGGCCTGGAGAAGCACTCGCCCTTGCCGGCCCTGAAGGACGAGGGCTTCTCCCGGGCCCCCCTCATCTCCATGTACAACAGCTACCCTCACTACCCCTACCTGTACTGCCTGGGGGGCTGGAGCCCCCCTTTCTGGTAACGCCAGCTCAGAGGACACCTGCTCAGAGGACAGACGTGTACCTGAGCAGACACTGCCTGCTCCAGGTTGTCTTCCCTCAAGGCCAAAGGGCAGGGCGGGAGGACTTGGGGGCAAGAGGCATGCAGACCAAGACTGTTGGAGGTTTGCATGGAAATTCCGGACTCTTCACCGGTGGGCCAAGGAGAGGTGTGGACCCGTGAATAATTTCATAGCCAAGTAGCTCCCCCCGCACATAATATAGGTCATTTTTGCTTGCAGACACCTGTCTGAAGTGGGGAAGGGTAGAGTCAAGGGCTGTTTCTCAAGAGCTGAGTGGGATGTTGTGTTTGCTGTCGCACTGCTGCTGAGGATTGCGTTCCTGGGGCTCCGTTCTCCCATGTAACCGGGCATAGACTCTGAAAGAGCAAACCCGAGGGAGAGAGGACAGCCAAGGAGGTCACCCACCGAATTAGACTGACGTTCAAAAGCCTCATGGGCCTTGGAAGATGACCAAGGTGTTTCTCTTGGTCTGTCAGAGAGGGAAGGAGAGGGTCTCACCGCCGAGGAACCTGTCATGCTCAGGTTTAGTCCTTTTTACAGAGTTCACCGACTTAAGTATTTGCAAGGTGGCCCAAGCAGACCGAGAGTTCCTCGCCGCAGGTGTAAGACAAGCTGTAGAACCAGCACTGCTGTAAGCAGCGGGCCCAGGCCAGAAGCTGCAGGGGCACTGCAATTTTACCAGCAAAAGGTAAAAGCAAACAAAAAGCCTCCCAGGGCCCGAGAATTTAGAATGAGGAGCTCCTGGAGTTTTCGAGCTATCTTACATGCCACATCGCGACGATCACATAATTCTTCACGCGCCTTCCGCCTTATATTTTCTGTCCCTTTCCCACAGCAATCACCCGCCGAATGGCTCCTTTTCAACCCAGACTTGCGGTCTGGCTGCACCTAACATATGCCTTCCTTATTTAGCCTGAGATCTGGTCCAGTTTTTTGTTTTGTTTGTGTGCTGTCTACTCTCTCTCACAAACTTTATCTTTCCTGGGTTAAACAAAGGAGGAGGACAGGTTCTGAGTTGGCTAAAATACATGCATTTGTGTGTTTTTAATATATGTAACAATTCTTGTTTTTTTTTTTCTTTTAAAAATATACAGCATTAAATCCCAAATCCTATTTAAAGATTTGACAGCTCCAGAGGTCACTGCTGCTTTTATAGGACTTTCTGGTGGCTGTTGTTACAGTTCAAAGTCTGACAACCCTTTGGAATCCCCACAGGCAGAGGAAGCAAGAGGAATGGCTTTCACACACGGGAAAGCAGTACACAATGCAGGGTCACTGCCATTGAGCTGGCGGTGGAGATTCAGGACTCAGGGCTTGGGGGGGAGGGGACGACAGGGGAACAGGGCGGTGGAATATAAGTCTTCCTGGACCTCAGAGAGCCCAGTCTGGGAGAGAGCGCTTTGCAGAAAGAGGCCAAGAAAAAAAAGGAAACAGTTTTTAAAATGCAACATTATTGTGACTCCCATCACCAAACGAAAAATAATTTTCCCAATGCTTCAGGAACTGTGTTTAATGCCTATTTAAAAAAAAAAAAATGGCCTAAACCAGTTTGGCTCAGTGGGATAGTGCGTCAGCCTGCGGACTGAAGGGTCCCAGGTTCGATTCCGGTCAAGGGCATGTACCTTGGTTTTGGGCACATCCCCAGTGGGGGGGGTGCAGGAGGCAGCTGATCGATGATTCTCTCTCATCAATGTTTCTAACTCTCTATTCTTCTCTCTTCCTCTCTGTAAAAAATCAATAAAATATATATATATATTTTTTAAAAATGGATCCCCAAAATGAGTCACCGAGCGATTTCAGAGAGAACGAGAGGAGGGCCGAGGAGAAATGTGGCCACCCTTGCATTCGCATCCTGTTATCTCAGGTGACCTGGAAGAGGGAAGACAGAATTAAGCAAGCCAGTCACTAATGAGGTACCCCGAGGCCTGGAAATCTCTTGATCCCACCACTTAATTCTCTTTAGTGAGAAACCTTTCCATTTCCTCCTCTTAAAAGGGCCAAATTACTGTTGGTGGCAAACCCACCAAAGTTGATGGAATGTTGGCCCCTTTCACCCCAGTTTCTAGCGCTCAAACTCCACATTGAAATACTGCAAAACGTCACGTGCTGCTGACAATGCTGGGGAGCGCAGAAGGCAGCATAGCCTGAACCCCTCCCCCCTTTTCCCACGTCCTCCAAGATAAGCGCTCAAAGCTCGTTCTCTGCTCAGTACCCTTTCTCTCCCACCTCCTAAATTTAAATCAACCTGCAATTCTGCAAGTACTAAACATTTCACTGTGATATATATATTGTGTTGCAAAAAAAAAAAAAAAACACAAAACAACAAACAGCCTTTGTTTAAAATTATTTGGTTCGTGAATCCATCCTGCCTTTCCCTGCTTGGGACTAGTTATGCCACCCTGTTTGAACTGGCAGAAGGGCATTTGAAGAGCTAGTTTGTGGGTGTCTGGTGGAGGATCTGCAGGGTACCCCAGACTGCTTCACCAAGACAGCCCTCCGTTTTCACCCCTGTGTAATAAAATCAGTTTGGTTTGCTCAACGTGCATATAACAAACCCTGCTCTAATCTATAACATGCCAAGGCCTGTGACTTAAAGTTGAATAAAGTATCCGAACCCAACTTTTATTTTTCTATGTATTTTTTGCAACATGAGTGTTTTAAAAATAAAGGACTGTGTCTTTATTAGACATCCCTGCGTGGTTTTCTGTTTCCTAAAGACTATGGTATGGAGCTTACACGTTTCTTGTTACCTCTCATTCTCCCACCCTCTCCCTGCCTGGCACATCCATGGAGAACAAATCATCAAAAGCGGTCACGTAGCTGAAGCAGACAATGGTCATTCTCTTAGCGGTCCCTGTTCCTGGTATGTCAAGTGCAGGGGAAAGGAATTTCTGTCTTCGGTGTAATAATCGCCTGTTCCAGCCCAAGAACACCTTTGTTTAATTGAGAACAGCGGGTATTTACTTACGTTTCTTGAAGACCCTGGCAGGGACTCGTAGACCACAATAGAATTCATTTAAAATTCCCCTTTCCCTTCCCACGAGCCCCTGGCCCCTGCATCTCCCTGCAAACGTCACCTTCATCTGGGGCAGAGAGACCTCTTGCAAGCAATACCTCTGAAGCGAAATCACGATTATTGGAAATAGGTTTTACATAAAATATATGAGTAAGCCCTTCATCCGCCTGCACTTAGACTAACTTCATTAAAGCCCGCACGCAGAGTCTCATGCACCTGATTACCTGACAGCCTTGGTGGGTTTCTTGCCCCCTCCTTCAAGGAAATGGAAGCTTAAGGAATAAGGTACTCACTCGAAGTAAAACATACCCGGGGTAAAACATTCCCCGAAAATAAGACATCCTCCGAAAATAAGACCTAGCGCAACTTTGGGAGAAAAAATTAATATAAGACACTGTCTTATTTTCGAGGACACAGGGTATCATAATTTCAAAGTTGGCTCTAATCCCTTAAGTACCTGGCACACACCGGTGGGGCCTCCCGGAGCGTGTTCACATGATGAGATTTAACTCTTTGCTCAAGTCTGCAGCCATCGTCCCCTCCCCGGGAAAGCCCTCAGCTCTCAGATTACAAAGCCTCAGGCAGTAAATTCACAAGGTGGATTTTTTTTTTTTTTTAAGCCATTAAAAGTGACTGATCCAGGAAATTAAACAAAAAGCTCTCATCTCTAAGGAAAGTTCTCTGCCTCTCCTTTGCCTCTCTTCCCACTTGCCCTTGATGCCTCTGCTATCTTAGTCTTCTCCCAGCAGCCGCCCCCTGCCTCCCGCCCCCCCCTCCCCTCCTTCCCCCCCCCCCCCCCCCCCCCCCCGCCGTGCCCCAGGTCTGTGGTCTTTGAAATCCCATTGCAGTCTGCCTCTCAAACTCCATCGGTGCAAATGTGTAATCACTGTAGTTTGTCCCTGATGTTTCCATTGGTCCTCCCCATGCCTCCTTGGGAAGGCCATTGCTGTCAGAAGGGAAATAAATGCTAAACACCTGCATGGGGAAAAAAAAAAAAAAAAAAAAAAAGCTTTTTTTCTCTTAATTACAAAACAAGTCAGTCATGTCTCTAGGGTGATGTGAATGCCAGACATCTTAAGGCTGACCTCGGAGGGAACAGAGGCCCTGGCGGATGAGACAGTCGCTTAGTCTGGGTGCCCTGTGAGGGAGAGCCGCACGCAGATGGTTTATGGAGAGGGCGCTCAGCTCAGGGGGGGTGCCCGAAAGGAAGTGAGGACCGCGGGAAGGGACTGAGCCACCTATGCTGGCGAGACCGAGGCCTCCCCCAGTACTTTACAAAGCTCCAAAGCCAATGTGTCCCAGACTGCGGGGAGGGGTGGGCACTTGTAACCCCAACCTCGGCCATCTCCTGAAAAATGGGAATAACCTGAAGCATTGCGGTTCTGTTAGGACAGGGCTTTCAAGGTTTGGGTGGTTCTTCCTAAATGCTATCCTTGATCAATGTTAACACAGTCATATTTTACACAGGATGAGCTCGACCTGATCCAATAGGGTAAGGTTAGCCGACGCAAAGAAGAAATCAACATGTGATAAATCGTGTGGATAAGCAATGGCTAAGGTTTCCTTCGGGGAGACAGAGCTTTGGGTGTGAATCCTGTCTCTGTTATTTGTTGCGAGTAAATAACTGCCTAAGGACCAACCACGCCTGGACCTTGAATAGGACCCCCCAGGCAGCGAGCCCCTTGAGTTGGGTAATAGCTCTTTCTGAGAAAGGCCTGGCCACAGGGACACCGCTGAGTCACCAGCTTCCACACCCCCAGCGGCTGTGGGGTGCATCTCCCTGTATTGGGGGCTCGGTGGAAGGCCACGGAATTCACTCCAGGACATATGATCCGTTCCTTGGTCGCTCTTAGGACCTTGGTCACTCACACGGCCACGGTCCCCGCCGGTCTCTGCAGAGAAGAAATCTGAGACTGGAGGGTCCGAGTAGGCTGCGCGCTCTGAG